TCGTTCAAAGCCTGTTTTGCACGTCTGTTGACGTTTGCAAAACGTCTAGGTGATGTATATTGCCTCTTTGAAAAGTTCGAGACAGTCATTAAAGAGCGGTTTACAAAAGAGCTACTGTAAAACCTAAAATTGCTGCCCAAGTCGCTTTTTGCGAATAAGTTATTCAAGTTAACTCAAAAGTGGTCTTTGCAACAAACCTTTCATTGAAAAGGTTCATAATAGAAAGCTCTTTCGGTGAAAAGTAACTTAAAAGTTAGGGGTGAGCAAGTAGTGGTTGAAATGAAATCCATTGTAGTTTTTTTTAGTTCTCTCTCGGATGGAACGGGTTTTCATCAGATACCTTTGCAAGCTTCTTATAAGCTCTTTCAATTGACCAGTAAATCATGAAAAACCTTTACTGAGTTTTTTTAGGGTCTAAGGAAATGACAGTTCTAAATAACCTCTCAAGGGAACTTTACTGTTGGGGTGTGCGAATACCCCTCGGTTCAAATAGCGCAGCGATATTTCTAGATTCAAGAAGTCCACTGTACACAATGACTGTCATTGCAGTGTTGAACCTAGAAATATCGCTCTTCTTTTTGAACCGAGGGGGTATTCGCACACCCAACATAAAAGTTCCCTTGAAAGGTTATTTAGGACTTATTTCCTTAGACCCTAAAATAACTCAATAAAGGTTCTTCATATTATTAACTGGTTAATGAAAAAAGAGCTTGTAAGAACTTTCCAAAGGTACTTGAAAAATCGCTTTATCCGAGAGAGAACTAAAAAGAACTGTTTCAGCGACAGAAGGACTGGAAAGAACTTTTTAAACGTTCCGCACGAAGAACTGTTCCATTGAAAAGAGAACTTAAAAGAACTGTTAAACGGTTCTTCACCAAGAACTGTTTTAGCGGGAGAAGGGCTGAAAATAACTTTTTACAAGTTTCTCACGAAGAACTGTTTCATTGAAAAGAGAACTTAGAAGAACTCCTTAAAGGTTCTTCATGAAGAACTTTTTTATAAGGTGCTTAAAAGAACTTTTTAGGGTGCAAAATATGGACAAGCCGAAGAACTCCAAAAATTTATTTTTCGAACTGATTTTTTTTAGCGTGTACGTGGTTCATGGGATAACGTTTGCAACACGAGCTTCGAGGAAGTCGCGAGTGCGTTGGTCGTCCGCAAGCATCTCAAACTTTCCGACGGCTTCCCTCCCAGCTATGCGACAATCCATCGCATGCGCACTTACGAACAAGCTTGGTCGAAGACTAGAGGTGGACCCTCTCTTCAATTGACTAGAGGATCCACCTCACTTCAATTGAAGCGTGGATTGAAGACAGATGGACGCTCTCTTCAATCGAAGCTCTCTATACAAACTTGCAGAGGGCGGGGCCAGGTGATGAAGGGGAGGCGGTTGAAAAGTTCGGCAAACCCGCAGCTCCTATCGCTCTGTCAACTTAGGGTGAACGTAGTATAGACGTGGCAGGGGAGCAACCATACACTCTAAAATATGCTTGAGCATCTACTTACCCGCAAAACACTGGAAGATCCAATCTCTGCGATTTATGAAATTAGGTATGCGAATGATGAGGCGGAACATCTGTTTAGACATCAACACTAAGTCTGCGCTGTTGCATTACCCAAATGCAAGCATGACGCTTTGCATTGCGTGATGCCACAGCGCACACTTCATTTTTAAGTTTAAACGGATGTTGTGCCTCATCATTCGGTGAGCCGATTCCCTAGACTGCATAAATGGGCTCTTTGAGTGTTTTGCGGGGAAGTAAGCGCGCAGCCATTTCTTAGAGGGCACCATTATTTGATCGAAGTGAAAAAAAGTAGTAGAATGACCCTCTCAAAGAGGCACTGAAATGAAAAAAAAAAAATCATATCTTTGTGCAGCTCTGATGATAAACATATTTTAGTGTAAATAAAAAAAAAGAGTTCAAACATTACGCCGTTGGAGGAAATTAAGGTGCGGGTAGCCCTTCTTTAGCCCTGCCCATAACGGAAGGTGATTAGCTAGCTAACCACTGTTTCTCGACTCTCATTCGTTGGAGAGAGGATTGACGTTTGAAATATTCGCTGTAAATTTTTTGCCGTGCCGTAATTGTATTTTTATCGACAATAGTGTTATGTTTGAGAAACAAATGATCTGGGTAGAGTTATTATTGTTTTCAAGAATATCCGGAGATTGCATTTTATTATTTAGTTTCAAGCGATAACAAACATGGCTCTCGGCATTTTTGGCGTTTGTTGCGATCGGGGACAATGGCGACGACAATCAGTCAGCAACTTTGGCTTATCGTCTCATCTTACGCTCACGGGAGCAGTCAGCGGGGCTCATCGTCTCATCTTACGCTCACGGGAGCAATCAGCGGGGCTCATCGTCTCATCTTACGCTCACGGGAGCAATCAGCGGGGCTCATCGTCTCATCTTACGCTCACGGGAGCAATCAGCGGAAGCGCTCGATTGACGTCATGGTACAAACTTCAGACCGCCGAACGAAGGAGGTGTGATCTAACTGGGTGGCACTCCGTTCGTCGAACGACGTTTTAGCGAATGCCGACTTTTCATCGAAAGACACTTTAGTGAATGGTCGGCCGCAGCGAAGCGGTGTTTTCGGGTGGGCCGCGTGGGTTAACATTTTCTAATGAGCTGCCGCAGACTGCCGCCGCGAAGCCGCTTGAACGCAGCGCGGGGGTCGGGCTAACGTGCAACCCCGTTATTCACTAACATGCCGATTCGCTTAAATGGCGCTTTTCGCTAAAACGTCATTCCCTCATCTGATATGGACCCCCCTCACCGCTGAAATAACGTTGTTTCGAGGTGTCGAACCGGTAGGATGTCTGCCCTTCTTGGAACTCAAGTCGAGATATTCACGCAAGGTCAATCCAGCGGGCCTCAGACACTGCGAACATTACGCCAGTATCTGGTCCAGCCTGCCTTATGCCACTGAGACAGGCGATCTCTTCTGTGTGACGTCACTTGGACAGAGGATTTTTCCCAGAAGGCGTTGGTGACGGAAACTGGTGCACCGCCGCGATTGGCTGCCTCCCGACTACATTGCAACCGAAAGACTTTAAAAGGAGCGGACTACCGCTACTCAGGAGGTCACCTAGATTAAGGCTCAGAGCTCTTGCTAGCTGCTGTAAAGAGAGCTCAATGATCTCCTGACGTATATATGTGGAAATGAAGGATAGTTTAATTATCGTCATCGATACCTGCTGAGATTCCTGCCCGTCCGGATCTGGACCCCAGTCGTGTCTGGTCCATCTTGGGAGCCCACGTCGGTCGCGACAGGGTTTACGACAGGGATAAGCTGCAGCTAGTTGGCTATACATTGAGAGTAATCAGCTGAACATACAATTATAGGAACATTCGTACAGATGAGAGGATTATTCTATCTCCTCTCATTTGTAAGAATGTTCCTATAACTGTAAGTATAGCTGGTTCTTCCCAATTTATGGGCTTCATGACGTTTATTACTCCCGGCGTTTGTTTATATGGGTGCAAGACATTTGGCGTTCACTGATGTGTTTAGAAGAAGACCTCCTCAACGGACCTAGTTTAGGGAAAACAAAATGTCGCAATTACGTAGTTAAGGAAGCGCTGTGCGGATGGTTGTTTTCGTAGCGGGAATGGCCTAATCTCAGCGTCCCGTGTCAAGTATTTTGTTTGATCTGCCTTGCTTTGTTCGTTTTTGCGTGTTGATTTAGAATAAAGATGGCGGTTCCCGTATACGCGGCCCCGATGCTTTGTAAATTGTGCAACAGTCGTGATTGCGACCATGGTTTCCTTACCGAGAATATACCTGCACAGGTAAACGTTTGCGATACTTTTAGCTTAAGGCAATCGGGCTTTCGCATCGCATCGAGTCTTTCCAGGTATGCTGCCGTCATTCCTTTTCGAAAGGCAAGTAGCTCTCAAGTTTTGCGGCAGATCTGGCCTGCCAAAGCGAATTAATTTAGATCGCGTTTGATTCGTCTGCCATGACACCCACCCACCTTGCTTGCGGATGCCATGCAAAAACAAAACAAAAAAACCAAGAACTGAATAGTTGGAAAGACTGGATAATTAATCTGTGCATTTTTTTTTGTCCTCTCGGTCGCATATTGACTGACGCAGACACACGCTTGTATCGAACCTTGGCTCGTGCATGATGGCACGTTAGAACGCCGCGTCAGTGGTTGTGTCTTGCGAGCGTGGCAGACGTCTCTAGAAAGGGCGAAATATCAGACGGACGCAGGCGATAACGGACGCGAACGCGCCGCTTCATGACCGCATCTTATGGACGTTCGATGATAAACAGTAATGGAATAGCAAACGATACTGGAGGCTGGCGTGCGCCGGCTCGCACGTCTAGCAGGTGGTGTCAGACGTCACACTCGGCGACAACTTTTCTTGACAATGCAGTGGAAGGTAGAGGCCCGCGTCCCCTCTCCCATTTTGAGTGTACGCAGGCTCTCCTCCTCCCTATTTCCCGGGGGAGGAGGAGAGCCTGCGTACACTCAAAATGGGAGAGGGGACGCGGCCGGGCCTCTACCTTCCACTGCATTGCCAAGAAAAGTTGTCGCCGAGTATAGACGCACCGCACGTCACTAGAGTGTGACTGTCTAGGCTTCCGAGCGTTCTCGTCCGGGAAGCCAAGTCAACCCAGTAGCAATGGGCGGGCCGCTGATCTCTGGGAGGCGTTAACAGTGGGCCGTGACCTCCACCTAAATAGGGTCTAACGGTGTAATATTGCTGGATTTCTTTTTCCGTGAAAAAATTTAAACTATAAAAGGTAGGTGTCCCATTTCGTCTTGGTAAAAATCTTTATTTCTCTCAGTTCAGTTTCCCCTTAAGCCAAAAATAAATTGAAAATTGTTAAGCAATATTTTTTTTTAAATTTTAGAATCGACATTGATAAATCTGTCTGTATTAGAGAGTGGTTTTCATGCTATCTTTTATTGCAGCTAACGTGCTCATACATTGAACCCTCCGTGTTCAGAGCAGTCTTATAAAATATAGCTAAACTTACCTCGCATGGCGTACCATCTGGATAGTAGTGTTCTATGTAATTACTGTATCCCTCGCCAGGTTGGCAATGATAACTGCAACTTTCCACGGTTCCAGTCTGGAGGAGAGCAAAATAACTAATATATTCCCGGTACGCAAAAAGCGTGTGTACATGCGAGTGCATAGGTCGCAACATTGTCAGCGTGAACACGACTTCGGAAGCTTTAGAGCACAGAGCGCTTCTAACGTAACCCTCTTATACCAGAGTCTTTTTCTGTTCGTCCGTCATTCTGCCTGTGCATTTTAACGTGAGATTTAGTGGGGAATTTGACGTCATGTCATCTGGCGTCTCGGGAGCTATACACCGATAAAGTTTTCGCGATGAACTTAGCAATAAAATTGGGTTTTGACTACCTGTACGTCAATTATAATATAACGCAAACATTTAGTGGGAATCGACCAGGGTTGGGCAGAAATCCTAAAAAAATGTATTTGGAAATACAAATACTGTGATACATTGAAATAGTAGCTAAAATACTGATACTAAGATACATCTGTAAAAATGTATCGCGATACGTATCGGAAATACATTTTAAAAAGAGGCCAAAAGTATTTGGAAATACAAATACAGGGATACATTTTAGGGAGGGCAGAAATACAAATACAGAAATACTGATACTGAAATACATTTTTTAAATTTTTTGAGACGCCAACTGAGATAAAGCTTGAAGTTTGAAGTGCATGTTTTTGATCCCGAAATTACGTTCCCGTAGGCTTGGCACTTTGCCTTGAAGGTAGTGGTTTCGGACGACAAGGAGCCTTCAATGGGCCCAAAAAAAAAACGTTCCAACAATTGCTGACCGCGGTCCCTTCCATGACATCCGGTCTGTCTGACGAGGGAATCCTGTCAACATTGATCACATTATGTCACGGCGGAATGAACTAGAATTCTTTATCTGTAGGTGTGGCCTTGAACATGAAACTTTACCACGCTGCTGTATGAAAGGACAATGCGCACTTTCGTTGTAGGCTCCCTAGCTGAAGATCGTGCATGCAGTGTCATTTGGAATTTTTGAGAATAGTGGACCACCTGAAGAATCTTGGAATACATGTCTTATCTTCTGTTTTACAGTTGAAAAAACGATACGGTAGCATCCCTGTTCTGAAGGTCCTTACTACCGACCCTCCGCCGCCGACGCACGGATTGCAGTCCTCAAGGTTTGCCTTGCATTATCCAGAGACCTCGTGGATTACGAGCTGATATTGCCGGCACAGGTGCGAGCTGTCCAAGAAACGGCGGTCTCGAGACTAGTCGCGGGAGTACGTAGTCTGGGATGGCACAGCGATGCCACTTCTGGCCTCCTTCTGGGTTGCGGATCACCAGAGCAGCGGGTCACGTTCACGTCGGCTGACGTACCCTTGAGTCGTGCAATATTACGGGCGCAGCCGCAGATGCATTCGGATATGTGTTGAACTTCACAGCATGAGTCTTCCTACTATTTCAAGTCAGCCACCGCCTGGCTCGTGCTGCAACGGAATGTGACTCAGCTTTGCCGGCAGGGTGTACTCTGTACGCTAAGGCGAGAGAGACGGTTAGCAGCGGGCATTGGATGCCAGGAAACAATGACTCAAGAAATCCCTACCTAAAGACCTGCGGCAGAAGATGCTCTGACTCCACTCCTGGCACGCCACCTGGTTCGAGTTTCCCACTACGCAACACTTCTCAGAAGAGAGAAGAGGACTAGTAGAAAAATAGTTTGCAGAATCAAAAGGAACTTATTGGTCAGCATAGTAACAATACCCCAGAATCTCCTTGACTCCGGTGCCCTTAGAAGTAAAAAAAAAAAAAAAATGCTTTCAAACCTGTTTTTTTTTTTTTTTTTTTTTTGGGGGGGGGGGAGTATTTCTGAAGAATTGTAACGAAATACACTTCATCGTGATTGTATCGCGATACAAAGGAACATTCAACATGTATTTCGATACAAGAATACAGATACTGGTGAAAAAAAATGTATCGCGATACAGAAATACAGATACGAAATGTATTTCTGAAATACTATCGCGATACATTTGTATCGCGATACTGTTCAACCCTGGAATCGACGTCACGTGATCGATAGAGAACATTGCTTCGCCTGCTAAATTTACTGCGGAAATTTATGTCAACTCTCCTATGCACTAGTTCAGTTTGCCTGGAGGAAAATTGTCAAAAAAGATATGTTTTTCCTCCGTGCTGAAACGAGAGTGTTGTCGTCTAAACAAATTGAAACTGTTGCGGGGTCACCGGCAGCTCTTGCGGCGGCCGCGTTCCTCTCGACCAAGAAGTCATTTCGACCTTCAGACCCCGAACGGAGGTATGCGGTGCATGGGGCGACGGGACAGAAAGACAGGGCGAGCAGGGGGATGTAACAGCTCGAGACGAATCGGGTCGGGAATGGCGGCCATTAGAGATGCAAACACCGTGTATCAGTTAAATAGCCTTACATCGTTATCCTGGACCACTCATATCGAATCCATTACCCCCACCTTACCAGGTGTAGCCTACACTCTGTCCCTTCAAACCTTTGCCAATTAGCGTATCAATCTTTTGTCCACCTAACACTTGCGCATGCCGCTGCCATCTTGAGTCCCCACAAAGCTTAGCTCATCAACCGCCTGGAAGCCATTCAAAAGCCGTGCCACAAGCTATATTCTGTCCAGCTACGGATGCACTGAGAACGTCACGACTAGGAAGTCACCACTGGGCCGACGTTCACGCGCTTTGCGCCAAACAAGTTCACGGCTGTGTCTCTCTCTTAAGATGTTCCACCTTCATCTTGATATTAGAACGATGCTTTTGTATCCTCCTCTCGGATCTTCTCGTAGATTAACAAACTCCGAATCTACGACGCATTTCTGTATCTACAAAACGAATTCGATAAACCCATCTTTCCACTTTAAATTTCAAAATAGAATATTGTACCTGAGAACATAGCATCAGCCGTGGTTACGAATGTATTCCACTCTCGTTTACTTTTATATTTAGTAGGGTGCTAACTGTTCGATATTCTTCTTTCGATTACTTGCGCGTGAAATGAACATGGTTAAATTCCGGAGTTGTGCTCTATTCTTCATTATCTCATTGTGGGTGAGTGCGTGTTGCTGATTTTAATTAATTATTTTGTTATTTTGTTATTTTGCTTCGTTGATTTTTCATTTATTATTTTTTTCAATGTGCCGTATCTCTCCTCAACCAGTTATGTTAAGGCTATAATAACGAATGAAGGAATGCAGTGATAGAGATGACAACAACATGAATAAAACGTTTCCTCCTTATAACCTATCTCACGACATTACCGGCAGTGCTGACGAAGCCACGGGAGGAACGGGGAGAAGTGCTTTTGTAAAAATTTTTGAGAGACGCGTTAATCTCTAAAGAGGCAAAACAACGAGGGGGGGAGAGACTGCTGAGAAGTCAGTTCAAGTCGCAACTATTCAGATAGAGTATAAATACTGCGTTCCACGTGTAGGCCTTTGATCCACAAACATGCTATAGAAACCACAATTGTTGGTTGGGATTTATGACAACCCTGAGACTGGAGGAAAAAAAGGACAAACACGACGAAATCTTAATTTTTTTTTAGATTTCCCAGTCTCAGGGTTGTCTTAAATCATGAGCGTAAACCAGCTCGCCTGTGCCTTGTCGCTCCTTTCAGTAATTGTTGGTTGTCTTTGAATTGCGATAGCATTCGTCATGAAGCTCCTGACGCATATCGCAGTGGATACGACAACCAACATTTCGAGTAAACACTTTATTTTACAATTAAATTTTCCCACCAAATTTAGCGGGGAAATTGAACTGGTGCATAGGTCGTGGCGTCAATTTTTCCGCTAAATTTAGCTGGGAACCTGAATTGGTGCATGACTAACGCGACGTAGATTTCCCGCTAAATTTAGCGAGGAACCTGAATTTATCTGTAGGTCCCAAGATGTCAAGTCACGTGACATCAAATTTTTCGCCAAATTTGGCGGGGAACCGGAATTAGTGCATAGGTCACGTGACGTAATTTTTCCGCCAAACTAACGAGTGAACCTGAACTGAAAGGGATTAGAAAGTCCAGGAAATCGGGGAGGGGGGGGGGGGGGGGTTGCTAAGGAATGCTATCGCAATAAAACTGAAAACGTGAGAGATTCGACGAGCAAAGAAAGGGGAAAAGAAAAAAGCTACGTTTCGGGCGCACGTCCTTCGTCAGGCTACGGGAAAACTAAGGAAAGCCAAGGATGAGAATGCGAGGGCTAACCCTCGCGTTCTTCTCCTCGGCTTCCGTTACTTTTCCCATGGGCTGACGAACGCTTGCAGGCAAGATGCAGCTTGTTTCCTTTCCCTTTCTTTTTGCACGACCTCTCTCTCACATTTTTAGTTTTTCTGTCCTTTTTTACTTGCCGGCAACACCCTGCTCTTAGAGGTAAATGTCGTTGTTTATGTTTTAAATTGTTAAGTCTACTCACAACTTTTTTTGCGTCCGCGTCTCTTTTAGCACAAGTTCGGTCTTCCAGCGTAGCATTTTCTTCTGGAGCGCAGTTTACTATCCGAAGGAAGACTAGAAGAAATGTAAAAAAGGTTTGAAGAGCTTTAATAAGTTATACGATTTGAGATTAAAATGCCCCATTAAAGCAATAATTTCAAAAAGAAGCTCTTTTGAGCAATCTAAACAGAATTTGAAACATTTAACCCTCGAGAGTGAAGGCACGTCATCATAGCCGAAAAGTCAGGAGTTTTCAACTGCAAATACAGGTAAGCTAAAGCAAGCTTTAATGGCAAAGCTAACATAATTGTTTTTTTTTTTATTAGATTGATGTAAAATCTTGAGCAAAATGGGCCCGATCGATCAAGAGAAGAGCCACATAACTTGTGTGGTCCCGCCTAGAAAGGATTAGCTTAACTAGCGTGAGGACGAGTCTATCACGCGACGAATCAGCGCCGGTGATTTTAGAAAGAGGCTCATCCTGGAAATAACTCTTTAAAGAGCTCGGATATAATTAGGCCAGCTTCAAGCGGCTAAGCGCTAATAGACGGTAACCAAAAACACGAAAGTGCGGGGTGTCTAGTGCATCCGGGACCACGGAAAACGAAGATTCCGAGTCTAAGTACATTGTAGAAACGTCTGTGTATTTATTTTCCTGCAAAACACAGAGAACGCCAATCACAGACAAAAATAAAAGGGTTTTAGCGAATCAGGAATCTCAGTATACGTTGTGTTGTGTTCGTTCCATTTTGCGTTCCTGAGTCTCGGGTGTTATTACCATGAATCATCACCAGCTCGCTTGTTTTTTTAAGTATTATGATAAGGAACATTGGTTGGCGCCCTCTGTGTTCTGCCGGAAAGTGAACCAACAAACGTTTAACTTTTTTGTAATGTAGCACCGCGCTCCCGTTCGCGAGCTCTTTTTAGCGCAAGTTAACTTCTGTTCTCTGGGCGCGGTCCTTCTTTCTTTCGTTTGACACTCTGTCGATTCAACCTACGTCTAGGGCTACACTCTTGGTGAAGGATAACTGTAATCATAAAAAAATCAATGTAAACCACTATATGCGTATTACTTAGAGATATTCTGATATTTGCCACTCTTAGGTACAGATTCAAAAACATTACCTGCTACGAGAGCAAGAGTCGTGAGTGCTTGAATCTTCATGATGGCTAGAGAACGTCCTGTTGAAATATAAAGATGTCATGTTGTTGATCATTACATTTATAGGCTACAGAAATAGGACGCTTCTATACAAACTACAGTGTCCTTTCAAGTGTTTCGCGCTGTTAATCATAGAGACAGGAAACGTGATATGTACGACCTTTACGCCTCACACCGCTGGTCATGTAGGCGGACCAGGGATTTACATGTATAACATTTACGTACACACCTCAACAAAAGTTGCCTGCGACGCTTGCCATTTTCATGTAAAAAGAATCAGTTAGCATCTACGAAGACATATTGACCTTAAAAAAACAGAATAGCGATGCGCACTCCACTTCACTTTTCGAGCAATATAATATAATTATCGTCCTTCGCCTAACTACATGTATAAAGTTGCCGTCTGCATATTTTTCCGGCCAGCAACATATGCTTGAAAAGAAATATTCTGTATCTTAGAACATTTAGAGATGCAAAGGTACGGAAAACATTGCCTAGCAAAAAACAACAAATGTATGATTTGTTTTATTGAAAACTTTATAATCATTTAGATATTCAAATATGCAGCATGACATTTAATAAACAGGCACCCATTTCATAATTATCTTAACTGAACACGCAACCAAAACCTGCTTGATATATGTGGAAGTCATGGTGAATGGATTGAACGCGCCATCGTCGATAAACACAGTATCCTTATTTAGTTTGTGCACATAAATTGGAAGTTTTGTATGCTTGGTGATCAGCTGTAAAGGCTGTGTGTGTGCAGATGGCTAACTACACATACACAGTACAATACATTGTACAATACAATACAATACTTTGAATACACAAAACGGTTACGTCCGAAGGGGCAGGTAGTCCTGAAGTGCCTTGAATATCAAATTGAAGTGAGCTTTCTACACTCAACAACACCATATATCATCTAAGAACTAAGATTCAACAAACCGGTTGCTTATATGTGTTCACTAAATTTTCGCTCTCAGTCATCACCAACGTTCCCTTGACTTGATCAGGGCAGATGTAGGTTAGTAGACTTTAAAACAAAATTGCTATATTTTTTGCTTAATTTTTGAAATTATTCACCGATGCTATACACATGCACATTTAACCTTATACATATGCTCATCTTCAGACACTTTGTTATTATTTATTTCCATACAGGTTGTTCAAAAGTAACGAAACTCAAACATGGCCGAATTTCTGGGGGGATCATGTTGCTTCCCGTTGCGTATTGTTGTTGCTTGTTTTTGAGAACCCACAGTGAGTAGCACCTACTTCAGAAGTCTCACCGCCAAGGACCAACTGCAGTACCTTCTGAAGATTATTCATGCGCGATCGCCGTGCCTGATCGTTTCGGTAAAAAAAAAAACGGGCTAGACAAAATTACAAATCTGCCAAAGGTATTGTAGGCGGATCTTCACACATAGGTATAGACCAGCCTGGTCCCTATTGATAAACTAAACTTTCTTTCGTCACGCAAATCCGGTGGTGTTGTTGTAGGCACTACGTGTGTGCAGACGCTTTATGTCGCAGAACTCTTTTTTCTGCGCATGAGCAGTGCCCACAACTGGTGCGGACAAGCGGGCGCTTGTTTGTAAACAGCCTGTTGGGGTATACCTGAGAACGACTTAAAACCTACAAATCCTTAAAAGCATTCAACTACTTCGTGAACGGCAAGGCATAGGCGATGGGCACCTTCCTCCCCAGTCACCAACGGTGCTCACGCGCCGAGCTTCCCCGCAGACGTCACCGAGCCGGGTTTTGGTTTTAGACGACAATCTTACGAAGATTTCTATTACATCTCCTTCAGCTCGACCCGAGTCTTTAATGCAGAATTTTCAAATGTTTCGAGTCTCTTCCTTCGTTATTTAACGTGTTTCTTTTTTTCCCGACCAATGTGTCGCCTTGCATTTATACGGGGTATAAAATCGGCCATGTTTCTGGCGAAAACAGCAGACAAAACCAAGGGACATGTCCACGGACCTGAAAAACGTGTCCTCGGACCTGATGTATGTTGCGCATCACGTAAGTGAACGTCACAGAATATGTCCGCGAACCTGGCGGACCACAATTATAGGGTTTTTTAACGCGATCCAGTTCTTCCTGTTTTCGAGTCCGCTGTCGTCCTCGGACAAGCCCCGGAACCGATTGCGTGAAACTGCTCTTGATACACTTAGTTGCACGAGCGGTTTTCTCTTTTGTTTTATATGCCTCTCACGGTTCTCGTACACGGGTTGGCCTTTGCTCTTTTTCCCGTCCGATTAGTACGCACGAGCTACAGCTGTGGAAGATGCTCGAGAGTTCCTGCGCACAATGAAAAAAGGAGCCGAAAAGAAAAAGAAAGAAAACGACTGGAAATTGTTTTTGATTCGAACATGGAGGCCAAGAAGGTTTCACGAGTCGTTGTGGCTTGTGGTCCCATAATGGCGGATGAGGAAGTCGCGGAAGCGCTTATTACCGACGCAAAAAAACCATGGATTAAAACATGAATGTCCAAGAAGAAACTTGTATACAAAATATTCTCTATCAAGCCCTTCTGGAGAACTAACCCGTGGACTACCTCCGCTTGCAGCGCGTTAACTCTAACCAGTTTGCTGACATTCTTTCGTCAATTGCATCATGCATCGAAAAAATCTACACTGAAATGCGTCCCGCCATCCCAGCCAAAGACAAACTTCAACTGGCGCTGAGATATGTTTGCCACAGGTGTGTGGTTATTCTTCTTACTCTTACCCTTGTTTCAGCATATTTGAGATCTACGCTCGACTTCGCCACGTTTCTTGTTTTCTTGCGAATTTTCAGGGGAATGTCAACATTCCTTAAGCAGGCAGTTCCGCATTAGCCACAGCACCGTCAATGGGGTCCTCGTTGAAACTTGTGACGCCATTTACAATATGCTGGGACCAAAATATCTGGTGTACCCGCGGACAAGAGACGAGTGGCTGGCAGTAATGAAGAACTTTTACGAAAGATGGCAATATCCGCATTGTACTGGAGCGCTGGACGGGAAACATGTCACAATTATCAAACCTCCAAACTATAGATCTGTGTATTTTAATTACAAGAAGACCTTTAGTACCGTGTTTTTTGCTCTTGTGGACGCGGACAGCAGGTTTTTGTACATTGATGTCGGCACACACGGGTCTGATGGAGATGGGGGCATTTGGAGGACGACACCACTGCAGAACGCCATCGAGAGTGGAACTGCCGGACTGCCGAACTCAGGACCTGGACCGGTTGGCGTCCCACGCGTCATCGAGGGAGACGAGGCCTTCACCTTCTCAATAAATTTAATGAGGCCGTACAGTGGTACGAATTTGGATGAAGGAATTGTTATATTTAACTACAGGTGTGTGGCCTAGCCCATGTCTTGCTAAGCATTGTTTTTCTTATAGTTTTATTTTTCTTTTTATTTCAGATTAAGCCGAGCCAGACGGGCAGCAGACAATGCGTTTGGCATTCTGGCAAACCGCTGTAGGTTTTCGCACACGACTATCGATGCCGAACCAGGACGACTCGCCTCATTAGTCAAGGCAGCATGTGTGCTGCGCAATTATTTGCGAGCTGCACCTGTGCTTTTTAAAGCATCCAGGGAAAACAACCAGCGAAAAAGCGCAATCTACCTCGGGCTACGAACTTCCAAAGGGCGCTCCGGGGCAGGAGCTCTAGAATTGCGTGAGCCCCTACGGAGATACTTTAATGACGAAGGTGCCATCGCGTCGCAGAGGGAAAAGACGGGCCTTAATCTGCGGATAATAACAAAATTTAACCTTATCCGCATGTGCAGACAAATGCAGAAGCAAAAAACGGAAAATTTATATTTAGATAGAATTTCATGGTCTGTATCTTGCTACTTCCTTTACTTAACAATCGTTCATGCATGTGTTGGCACTTTGACCAACAAAGCTTTTTGTGTTATGCTCTGTTTTTTTTTATTTACAGAAAAAAACCTGCTTCGCCGTGAGGCATTATTGCAGGGGGTGGGTTTGATACAAACACTTTTGTTTTAGAATATAGGTAATACACAAAAAAACAAACAAAAAGCAAAACACTTTCTATGGATCAATAATGAAATTAAATAAAAACATACTGTCTATAAAAACACTACACGATTGAAAATTCAAAAAACCAAATTTGCCGGAAGCACAACTTTCGGCAACCTATTCCACTCTTCAATGGTTTTCGGAAAGAAGGAAAAAGCAAAAGTGTCGGTGCGGCAAGAGTATGGTCTAATCTTCTTGGGGTGATCTGCTCTTTCGGACACATAAAACGGTTCATGTAAAAACACATCTCTGTTAATTAATAGTCTATTGTTGTAGATATCATCTAAAAATTTCATCCTAAACAATTTTCTACGCTCACTGAGTTTCTCCCAATGTAGGGCATGTTTCATGTTAGTGACACTCGCTCCAAGTTCGTAATAGTTTAGTACAAATCTAGCACATTGATTTTGTATCTTTTCAAGTTTGTCTATTAAATAATTTTGGTGAGGGTCCCAGACAACTGAGGCGTACTTCATACACGGACGGATATATGTAAAGTATAAAGTTTCTCTAACTTTCCTCGGGGCTTGCCGAAAATTTTTCGTACAAAATTAAGCATTCGTATTGCCCTTAGGGCTATCATTTCAACATGTCCCGTCCACGTTAAATCATTAGATAACATAACACCTAGGTATTTTACATTCGAGCTAGGTTTAATTATTTCATTATTTATCATGTACACGGAAGTAGAGGGATTTTTTTTCTCAGTAAATTTAACATGCACGCACTTTTTAACATTTAGGTTCATTCTCCAATTTTTACACCATACAGAAATTTTATCTAGATTACTCTGTAAAGAATTAATATCGTTAGAATCATTAATTAATCTATAAATAACACAATCGTCCGCAAATAATTGAATATACGATTGCATGCAAGAAATAATGTCGTTTATATAGATCAGGAAGAGCGGAGGACCCAGTACCGAGCCCTGGGGGACACCAGACTCGACTTCTACATACTCAGATTTTTCCCCACCGAGCA